CACATTATATGTTGTAATAATTGTATCATGTGATAGCTTAAAATAATTTTGAGTTGTGTTACATACCATTTACATATAAAACATATTACTACCTAATTATTTCATCTCATTTATTTGCTTTAATTCTGTTTGTTTTGTTTAGCTTCTGACATAAGAAACAAAACATATTATATGAGGAATTAAAAAAGCTAGATTTAATGATTTATTTGATTAAAGTAAAATTTCTAGTCAAGGCTGAAAATATGCAGTCTAGTGTACATTATTAATTATGTTTATTACTTTCTTTCAATATGTACCTTCTGTATTAATTGACTTTTTTGTCTAGATATTGTTGAAGATCTATAGCAATAACATTAAAAGGTACTTGAAAATATAAATAATTGGCTATATTATGGATTTAAAATTGAAGATTTGAAAAGTTAAGTCATTTCTAAAAATCTGCATTATTGTAAATATCAAAGCTCCAATCAACTTATATCGGCATGGTCTTTAATGGAATGAGTTGAAAAGAATTTCATTTGTATTCCAAATAAACTCACTTGAATCCCAGTTTTAAAAGTTAAAGTGTTTACATAGGGATGGAATAAGTATCATTACACCCATGCATAGCTGTTAGAACACTTGAATATATTCTAAAGGTATACTGATTTAAGGGATTAGATTCATAGGTATGAATAACATTTTTATTGTGTGCTCAGTATGTACTTCTGTCAGTCTTGTCACCTTTTCATCCATCATTTTTTTTTTCTGCTTTCTATTGGAGATGCTTAAACTTGAGGTAATGTGTTTTTGGAACACTTTAATATTAATAATATCCTTAATATACCTACCACCTTTTGTTGTCATATGGCAATTTTGTGTTTTAAGGGAATCTCAGAACTTCAGAATGTGCTCATTTTGTTTTCTTAATCAAGCAAATTTTCAACCACCTTTAAATGATTATTTGCTAACAGTATTAGCCTATTAAGACAATAATTATAACTCTAAAGCACCAGTCAGGCATTTGCTTGACTATCATCACTTGGTTATTTTGCAATTTAAAGTCTTTCAGTAAATGTTCAATGTTGGATTCAATAATGTATCTTCTGGAAACATAGCTACAAGAAAATGCAAATTATCTTATGGGGTCTAATACACTATTTAAATGGGAATAAATAAAGCCCCTAGAAATATAATCACTTCTTCCTTTAGTGAGTATTTTTTGAGTGCCTACTAAGTATCAGGAACTATTCAAGGTGTAGGAAACACAACACTAAATTAAACAGAGCGCCTTGTACTCATAAGTCTTACATTCCTTTGTGGAAGTCAAAGAATACAAAAGTAAATCATCCCAGGAAGTCAGATAATAATGAATGCTATGAAGAAGAAAGAATAGGATATGGGCAATAATGGAACTGGGAATAACTTGGGACAATTTCTGAATAGTTGGAAGATCTCCTCAAGGAGGCTATGAATGAGAGGATGAAATATGGAAGAATCAGAGGAAGCATAGGGATCAAGGATTCTCAGGATTAGGTTAGAGCAAGTGCTAATTAATCTCTAAAGCACATTGGCCTGGCTCTTTAAACAGTGAGGAAAGTCAGTACCTTAAGAGCATAGATCTTTCTTTGAATTTCACCCATATTTATTTTATTTTATTGTATTTATTTTATTTCCTTTGAAAATTTTCTCTTCCTTTAATCTTTGCTTTTTTCCTCAAATATAAACATAATGTATGGTCATTGTAAAAGATTAAAATGACTCATAATATACAATACGAAAAGGGAAAGTCTATAATTCATTCTCTTCTGTCCCCTACCTCATAACCACATCATTCTTTGTTATCCTGTTGAATAAATTAATTTTTTGTTTTGTTTTGGTTTTGGTTTTGTTATCAGGCACATGCACTTGCTGGAGAGAGATAGGGACAGAGAGAGGGAAAGTGAGAAATCACCTGTTGCAGGGAATGGCCATGCTATAATTTCTTCTCCATTCTCCTCTTGGGATTTTGGGCTTGCACGTGCACCTGCCTGGCATGACTTTCAAGCTGCTGAGTCTAGGGCTTGAACCACAGTCGGCCATGTGGGAGTCCATTGCCTTAATCACCATGCCACCTGCTGGCCCCAATTAATTAAAAAATTTTAAGGGCTTGTATTTATTGTTATATAAAGGTTGTAGTTTTTAATATATTCAAATTTAATGTACTATGATATCCAGTGTCTAGTTCTTTAGCTGTTTACTACATGATATCTAAAATTTATAAAATATGAAAAGAGATTTTAGGAAATATTTGCTTTATACTTTTCTTGTATTGCTTTTCCTACCTCTTGGACTTTATCAGCAAGATAGACAGTAGAAGGCTATTACTCTAGTGTTTAAGGTAGCTAGATTTCACATGGGTGACCACAGTTAATTTAAATCCCAGCCCCAGGAGCTGGTAAGACAGCAGGGCTTGCATATGCATTGATGGCCAAACCCTGACAGGAAGGAGAAATGGAGGAGAAGGGATTGCAGTGTGACCATACCCCATTAGGTGTGCTTCTTTCTTATCTCTTTCTTTCTTTGGAAAGTAAACATCCCTCTGGCAGTTTAAAACAAAAACAAAAACAGACACTAGATAGCATTATATTTGATTTATTATGTTTTATAAGCTTAAATTTGCAAATAATTCTGTAAAGAATATCTTGATAAGATATTTACAGGTAGGGGAGATTTACATTTAATGTGATAATTTATTTTCTTTTATGATAAATTGACATTTATGCTATTATAATTAACACATATTAGCTTAAGATAACCAAATTATTCCTAATGTTTCTACTAATATCCATACTCCTACTATGATGCTGAGATTCATTGTGTTAGAAGTAGTAATTCATAATAAACTCTTAATATCTATGTCCATATCAGTGTTTCATGATCAGTTTAAGACAGTTAGTATTAGGGTATGCCTTTATCATGAATATACTGGAAAATATATAAATATTTAAACGTTTTCTTCTTTGAACTATAAGGCATTCATGTATATATTAATTAGATTTTATATATGATATTGAAACACCATGTGTTAGGTGTAACTACTAAGTAATGTGATAGATTGCCTTTCATTATTACCAGAATGGATACACTTAAATAAATTTTTTTCTTAAAGTCAGGCCAGGTCCAGGCATGGTGGTATAATGTTGGAAGCCATGAAGAGGATGGAGATTTGGTTCCTGGGTCTACTGAGAATTCATCTAAAAAATAAGTTTTATATACTCTGGAAGGGTTCCCAAAAGAGGAGTAGTAAGAGATTTCTTGAGCAATGGCATTGTGGTCATATTACTTAATAGCTTCTGGGACCAGCAGGTAGAGTGGTGGTTAAGGCACTGGACTCTCACATGATCATACACGGTTGGAGTCCCAGACCTTGTGACTTGCTTTCTTACTTTCCCTTTCTCTCTCTCTGGTCAAATTAAAAATAATAATGATAATAGATAAATAAGTAAATAATTCTTTAAAAAAATTAGTAGTCTTCTAAAGATTTTTCCTTGAAGATGAAAGCAGTCATTTGTAATATACGATGTGTATAGTTATTAATATGTTTGTTAGGAAAATTTAAAAATTTATGTCTTATCCATATTATAAAATTTGTTCAGTAATAAAGCATATAGATGATGGAAATAATCATAAATAGAAATATAAAAAGTAAAGTCAGTAAGCAATACTAGAAATAAAAAAAATCTTTTGTTAATGTCATTTGTAGGAAATCATGCCTAAAGATCAGTATTTAGTTTTTCTCATAGTTAAACCTTCATGTATAGGAAGTTTGTATTTCCAACATCTTTGCTTACCTGTCTTTTTTCTTTTTACTTATTTTTTTAAATGACCAAACTATTGTTGATTATGAATATAAATTTTCATTTTTCCTAAATGTTATAGTATACTTAAGCAAATTCATGCCCAGATATTTTACCTGACCATAGAATGATTTAACTTAACAAAACTATATGTAACTTCAATTTGGTAACTTATTATAATCGCAAAAGTGATTCACCATGATCAAACTCTGTGTCACATGTTTGTACATATATGTAAAAGTTCATGCTGTAGAAACTCGGAGAAATGGTTGATATAAATTACATATCCTCATCAAATTCAAGAAGGTTAAAGCAAAGAGTTTCAAAGCTAATTCAAGTTTTCAGTTTCTTTTTCTTCTTTTTTTTTTTTTTTATTTGAGAGATTTTTGCTATAGGGCATGTGTTGTGCTCGCCAGAAAGACAGAGAGAGACAGAGAAATCACTCCCCCAGGGAGGATGACCATGTGATTCTCTTCCATTCTCCTCTTGGGATCTTCAGTACACACGCACACATTCCTGGCGTGAGTTTTAAGCCACTGGGTCTGGAGCTCAAAGCACGGTCACAGTTGACCATGTGGGAGTCCATTATGTCATCTGCTGGTCCCAAATTTGTAATTTCTTGCTTACTTCAGACACATTAAATACAAGTCAACTTTTCACTTTATGTGTTATTTAATAAATGAACTTGTGCACCTTGGATCAATTTTAAAAATCAGTTTTAAGCCTGAAAGAGTATGAGTGACAGTGAGGATAGTAGGATAAAGAAACAAGTTGAGGGACCAGCAGTTAGCGTAATGGCTATGTCGCTGGACTCCCATGTAGTCGACCGCGGTTTGAGTCCCGGACCCGGTGGCTTAAAACTCATGTGGAGTGCATGTGCTTGCTTACCCAAGATCCTGAGAGGAGAATGGAGGAGAAGGGATTGCAGCATGGCCATCCCCCCTGGGGGGTGATTTCTTGCTTTCTGTCTCTCTGTCTCTCTGTCTGTCTGGTGAGCGCATGCGCCTTATAGCAAAAACCTCTCTCAAAAAAAAAAAAAAAAAAAAAGAAACAAGTTGAAAGTTCCAAGGATTATTACAATTTAGCAACAACATTCTATGTAATATTAAAAACTTTGTATGCTTCTAGTTCTCTTTTTATTTTAATTTGCTCTCACTTTTTTTTTTTTTTTTTTCCTTTTAGGCCACAATTAGCCAGCTAAAGAGTGAACTTGCCAAAGGCCCCCAAGAAGTTGCTGTATATGTACAGGAATTACAAAAACTTAAAAGTTCAGTTAATGAATTAACACAGAACAATCAGGTGAGATTTTTAAAGCTATGTATCAAAGTGAATTCATTTTATTTATCTTAAGTTTTAATCATATGTATTTTATTTATATATTGGCAAGTACAGTGTGACTTAATCTGTATTTTTTTTAGTATTAAGTACATTCACATTGTTGTGCAAATCAATTGGCAGAACTTTTTTCATCTTGCAAAACTGAAACTCTATATCCATTAAATAGCTTTTTGTTCTTCTCTCCTTCCATTTCCTGGTACCCACTATTCTACTTCCTGTCTTTATAAATTTGACTATCCTAGGTACCTCATCTAAGTGGAATTGTATAGTAGTTATCTGTTTTCTAATTTTCTTCTTTGACTTCCATATTTATTCATGTTGTATCTTATGTCAGATTTTTTTAAAGGCTGAATTATGTACATATGTACAAATCATTTTATGTACATATCATACTATCCATTTATCTATCAATGGACACTTGGGTTGCTTCCGTCTTTTGGCTATGCTGCTTCGAATATAGAAATACAAATATCTCTTTGAGACCTCACTTTCAGTTTTTTTGCCTACATATCTAGAAATGGAATTGCTAGATCATATGGTAATTCCATTTTTAATTTCTTGAGGAATCACCATGCTATTTGCCATAGTGACTGCATCCTTTCACATTTCCACTAATGGTATACAAGGATTTTAGTTTCTCCATGTCTTCACCAACACTTATTCCCCCCTTCCTTTTTGAAGATAGTCATCTCAGTGATGTAAGGTGATAATCTCATTGTAATTTTGATTTACATATCTCTAATGAATAAATATTAAGTATTGTTTCATGTTTTTTTGGCTCTGTAATTGTAACTCAATTATAGGCACACTCTATGTTTTGGATAAATATAGAACCCTTTATTACATAGATGAGGTGCAAATATTTTATTTCATTCTGTAGGTTACTTTTCACTCTGTTATTGTGTCTTTTGATGCTCAGATGTTTTAAATTTTACTGTAGTGTAATTTACCTCCTTTTCCTTTGTTGCCTATGCTTTGGTGTCACATGTGCAAAATCATTGTAAAATGCAGTGTCACAAAGCTTTTCCTTTCCTTTTTTTATTTTTAAGAGAGATTTTTGCTATAGAGAATGTGTGCTTACCAGAGAGACAGAGACAGAAAGTGAGAAATCGCCCCCCCAGGGGGGATGACCACACTGTAGTCCCTTCATCTTCATTCTCCTCTTAGGAATTTGGGCACACGCCCACATGCCCAGTATGAGTTTAAGCTGCTAGGTCCAGTACTCGAACTGCAGTCAACTACTTGGGAGTCTAGGGATGTAACAATTATGCCATCTGCTGGTCCCCTTATAATTTTAGGTTTTATGTTCAGGCCTTTGATCTACTTTGAGTTACTTTTTGTATATAGTGTAAGGTAACAGTCCATTTTCATTCTTTGTGCATGGATATCTATTTTTCCCAGCACCATTTGTTGAAAAGATTGTCCTTTCTGCATTGACTGTCCATGGCATTCTTGTCAAAAATCATTTAACCCTTATCTTAATCTGTTTGGACTCCTATAATAAAATTTCATAAACTAGGTAGCTTATAAACAACAGAAATTTATTTTTAACTGTTCTGGTGGCTGAAAAGTCCAAGATAAAGGCACCAGCAGATTTAGTGTCTGGTGAGGCCCTATTTTGCATAGAAAAATACATCATGACTTTCCTGACAACCTAATAGATTCTATCTTCTTGCTGTGTACTGATATGGTGGGATGGGGGATCTTTTTCATAAGGGTACTAATCCCATTCACAAGGGCTCTACCTTCATGACCTGTTCACCTCTCAGAGGCCCTAGTTCCAATTATCTCCTTTAGTGTTAGGGTTTTAATTTGGGGGCGACACAAACATTCAGGGCATATCTTTTATATATGTAAAAGTGTATCTGTGGGTACACTATTCTATTCCATTGATCCCTATTACCATCTTTATGCCAGTACTACACTGTTTTGATTACTATAGCTTTGTAATAAATTTCAAAATCAGGAAGTATAAGATCTCCATTTTTGTTCCCTTTTCAGTATTTTTAAAAGTGAATTTTTCTGCCCTGTTTCTTTATAAATGAGCAACAGATAATATTTAGTTTGGGGGTGGGAGCAGTATTGGTATTAGTTTTTACTTTCTGTGCCCTTTTTTGGTGGTCTACATCACCACAGAGAGTTATTAAACTCATGTTCAAAGATATAGTGAATACGTTGGCTCTGCTTTAATAACTGGAGTTTAATATTTGGTGAACTATAACAAGAGAAACATCAAGAAAGATAAGAGTCATGCTAGAAAAGAGATAACTATTTTCCAAAGCAAGTATAATACTGTTGCTCATTTCTCTCTTAGTGCTGATTGAGTTTTAAAATTTAATATTCTTCTGTGGTTATGCCTTTCTCTAGCATAAATATCTCCATCTCCTCTCCATTACCCTGACTTTCCCCTCGTCTAACTATACATAGGAAACTTTTACAGAACAATTTAGTTTTCTCTTTGTCACTTACTTTGTTTCTTAATTTCTTTGAACCTTGAGCCTCTCTTGGAAACTGACTAGAATAGAGTAGTAGTTTGCATGGGTGTTTATAATCAGTGTAATTTCTTATGTATTTTTGAAATATTAAACTACTGACAAAGAACATGATTTGATATTGATAGCTGAAATGTACAGTCAAATATAATTAATTGAATCAGAATACAGGCAGGTAGATTTTGATTTTTTTTTTTTTTTAGGACAAGTGAATTTATTTGCCATGTATCAATATTTTTGCTTCTTAAAGAATGAAGCTGTCAGGGACCAGCAGTTAGCGTAATGGCTATGTCGCTGGACTCCCACGTAGCTGACCGCGGTTCGAGTCCCGGACCCGGTGGCTTAAACTCACGCCAGGCGCATGTGTGTGCGTGCCCAAGATCCCGAGAGGAGAATGGAGGAGAAGGGATTGTGGTGTGGCCATACCCCCGGGGGGTGATTTCTCGCTTTCCATCTCTCTGTCTCTCTGTCTGGCGAGCACATGTGCCCTATAGCAAAAACCTCTCCAAAAAAAAAAAAGAAGAATGAAGCTGTCAGAAGGGTGTATCGAAAATGGTTGAATTTCTAGGTTGCTTTGTAAGTAAGCTGTGGGAAGACACTCGTTTATTCATTACTAGCCCTAATTTTTCTTGCACATTAAAAAGTTATATACCACACAGGTCCTCAGTATATGTAAGCATGGTTGCATTTATGAAATTCAGTAACTTAGAATTTTAGAAAAAAGATATATTTAGAGATTAATGAATAGAATTAATTTAGCTTGCTACTTCTAAAATAAATGTTATTTTCCTAAGTGAAACATATGTACAATTATGTCAAGAAAGATTTAAAGTTACTAACTAGTAAAACAAAGAAATGTTTATTAAAGGATAATTTTCTTGATCTATAGTTAGTTCAAAAGTATAATTTTTTTCAAGTCTTTTGACTCTACCTCTTTTTCTGTTTCTGTTGATTGGTAAGAGTACACATCACTTGGATAATTTTGCTGCAAAGTCCTGGTTGCTCTTCTAAGTTTGTCTCTTATTCTACCTCTTATATTATCTTTTGGGATACTGCTTTTTTTAGTATATTCCTACTAGGTAATTTTTATTAATTCACTTTTTCTCTGACCAATATTCAAGAACTTTTACTTACTTCTTTTTCCATGTTGGTTCCTATACTTACTATTGCCTTTGAAATAATAGAATTTGATATTTCCTCACTGGCAACTTGTTTGTCCCTTCTTTAACACAACCACTGTGGAGAACAATATGGAGTTTCCTAGAAACCTGCATAGAGAACTACTATATGACCCAGCAATTCCACTTTTAGGTCTCTACCCAAAGGATAGGAAAACACTCAGTGGAAATATATCTGTATATCCATGTTTATTGCAGCATTATTCACAATTGCTAGGACATGGAATCAACCCTATTGTGCAAGGACAGATGAATGGATTGAAAAAATGTGGCGCATGTACTCTATAGAACGCTAATCAGCCATAAAAACAATGAGACTCTGAAGTGATATAAAGTGGATGAATCTGAAAGATTTAATGCTAAGAGATGCAAGCCAGACTATGAAAGACACTGTATGTCCCTGTTTCATATATACTAAATGTCTGTGCTCTGTAGCAGAATCTGAAAGATTGGAAGTTATAATAGCAGAGAGGTCAACTATAGGTACTAGAGACAGTATACAAGAGGGTAGATGACAGGGGGATGGGTAATAGGGATGGGAGGGAGGGGATCAGGGAAAAACAAAACATTTAATAGACACACAGATGAAGAAAAGTTATCTGTTGATAACGTGTATGGCAGTATCTTTGACTTGACTAATAAAATATGCATTATATTCATGCTGGGAAAAACCATGTTGTATACTGTCAAGATGTACAGTGATTAAATGTAACAAAGAAATTAAAAGTCTTGGGGAAGTTTTTGCTTTTTTAATAGATATTTTTTTGTAGAGCAGATTCCCTGAGTCATGTATAAATATTTCCTAATTCTTGTCACCACTTTTAAAACCATACTGAAACTGTTAGTTTCAGGTGATCTTACTAGTTAGCTCCATCTTACTTTGCTCATTTTATTTGTTTCAAAATCGTGCACTAAGAAATTTGACATGACTTTTCTGTTAACCTATTCTTGTATGTATATTATGTTTTAACTTTCTTAAAAAGGCTTTTATTTTGGTGTGTGTTTTGTTTTTCATGTGTGTATTTCATTTAGATTATAGTCTGTTTAAGGTGCAAAGGCTTTGATTGTCCTCTCATTCTGTATTATCCCCTTCTGGCACATTGCATATCGTAAGAGGAGTATAATAAATGATTGACTCATCAGATACTTACAGTGACTTCTTATCCTGGCTGTTTTTCTTACAGAATTGAGTTAAAATTTTGATCTATATTTTATGTGTAAATATTTTGACTTGAAAAGGTCAGTGTTAATTGTAAGACTATCACTGAGACTAGATTTTGACATGTAATTAGGCTGGATCTTCAGGTCTTTGATTGAAGGTGTTATTTTTATATTTTATCCTTGTTAAATACTAATGAGGAGAGGAAAATAAATTATAAGGCAGATAAATAATATGTTTATTTCATTATTTTTATATATGTAGAAAGAAATTGGAATTAGTGTTAACTTGTGACTTTGAAACATAGTCTTTATTGAGAAGATGAGAATGCATTGAGTAGGATCAGGCATAGTAGAGCAGTGAATGATCTTGTTGTGGTAAAGCTCTAACCAACTATGAAAATTGCAAAGCCAAAAATAAGAATTGCTATAATATATTATTTAGAACAAGTTCTAGCTATAGGAAGGTAAGTTTTAATTTCTAACTGAAATTAGAAAGACTATAAATCTATTGTATATATCAAATAATCTAGTAGACTTTAGTGTTTTCATTTAATGCCAGCATTTTCTTGGCATTTCTTAAGTTGTATTCATAGAGGTTAGTCAAAATGGACTAATGATAAAATCATAAGTCACCTCATAATAGTGTAAATCTTCTTTACTAGGATATTTTTATTTTTTTATATTATTATATTGACTGAAATATTTAGAAGGAAGTAGTACTGTTCCAAAAATTGTTTGAATATTTGGAGTAGTTAAAAATATTAGGAAGGAATATAAATTATTAAATCAATATTTCAGAACTTAACAGAAAAGTTGTTGAAGAAAGAACTAGACTATACCCAATTAGAAGAAAAACATAATGAAGAATCTGTGAGTAAAAAGAATATTCAAGTAATCCTTCATCAGAAGGACCTAGATTGTCAACAACTTCAGTCAAGATTATCTGCATCTGAAACTTCACTGCAGAGAATACAAGCAGAACTAAGTGAAAAAGGTGAAGCTACTCAAAAGCTCAAAGAAGAATTATCAGAAGTAGAGACCAAGTACCAGCATCTTAAGGTGGAGTTTAAACAGCTACAACAACAAAGAGAAGAAAAGGAGCAGCATGGACTACAACTCCAAAGTGAAATTAATCAGGTAAGATATGTTATTTTTATTTATTGTAATTCTTCCATGGTGTCTTTTTAATGTGGTTATTAAAAAAATTGTCATTAAAAAATTAACCCTTAATTTTTACATCTTATAAATCTCATTTTCTTTCATTTCAATTTCCCCTAAAAAATGATAACATCTACTTTACAACATTGTTGTGACGTGTTTTAGCATGGTACCTGGCATATGGGAGATACTTCCTAGGTTTTAGATGTTATAACTAATTCAAATCATTGACCATTCTGTAACTTAAGAAGTCCTTTTTTTAGGTTACTAAACTTAAAAGTATAATTATAATAAAACCAATGGTATAAAGATTAGATTTTAAAAGTGGAGCACAAATTAGTTCTAAATTTTTTATAGATAATGTCTATCAGATGGTTTGATACAAGTTTTAATTTTGTCATTAACTTAATTTTTTAATGTCAGTATGTAATTGTTTATAGAAAATATTAAAAATTTGTTGAAAATGCAAATTAGGGGGGGATTAAAATACTCAGACACTGTGTTGACAATGTTCAACTATTTTTACTCAAGTAGCTATGAAACCTTATTATAATTATTTTTATGGCTTTCTACTCCTTTACTGAAAATAATGATGTTAATTATAACAATTATACTACTAATTTACTGAGCTTCAATCATGCTTCAGGAATTAGAGTAAACTCTCCCAGTTACTATCACTGATTTTTTTTTTTTAAAGAGAGATTTTTGCTATATGATGCATGCACTTACTGGAGAAACAGAGAGACAGAAAGTGAGAAGTCCCCCCTCCCCCTTGGGTGATGGCCACACCATAGTCTTTTCTCCATTCCCCTTTTTGGATTTGGAGCACAGATGCACACATGCCTGGAGTAATTTTCAAGCTGCTGGGTATGGGACACGAGCTGTGGTCTGCCATGTGGGAGTCTAGCAACATAACTATTATCCCATCTGCTGGTCCCTACTATCACTGATTGTTGAGATTACCCGGTGAGTTCCAGGATACAGTGAATTAGAAAGTTAGGAATATTTTTCTATAGATTTCTGTCTGGCCTTCTTCCCTATTTCCACTGCTAATCCTCCTTATCTCACTCTTAAAACATCCTAAGAATCACTAACAGATTTCTCTGCCTTAAGTCTAGTCTCTGTCAGATTGATCTTCCACATAGCCATCCAAGTGTTCTAGGCAGAAAATTTTACCATGTCTAACCCTGCTTTATACTCTTTATTATCTTTTTATGGCTCAATGAATTAATAAGTTCAGGTTGTCATGTTGTGTCATGCAGTGTCTGTAGTGATCTTGTCAGCCTATCTTCTCAGCTCTTTACGTTTCTTTGTTTTATTCTCTACTGTAGGAATATAGAAGTGTTCTTAGCTTTTTTTTCAGCTTTTTTATGCCATATCTCAGTTTCATGGCATTAGTAATTCGATCATTAGATCTTGACCTGAGCTATTCTATTCCTCTTCATTCAATCAATACTATTGCTTACTTCACTTGTCACCCTTCTAGAAATTCTTTTTGAAACACTGCACCATTCACTACACCCCAGGATGAATTAAGCACGCACATATCTTGATTATTTTACTTATCACATTACAGTATATCATCATAGTTTATGTCAGACTTCACTAGATTCTGAATTGTTTTGGTACAAAAACCATGCCTTATTCACTTTTGTCCTTACTACTTGGCACTTTTCTATTAATCAACAAATGTTTTAGTGAGTGAATGAATAAATGCAGACATTGGGAACCAGCAGTTAGCATAATGGCTATGTCGCTGGACTCTCACGTAGTCTATTGTGGTTTGCATCCCGGACCCGGTGGCTTAAAACTCATGCTGGGCACGTGTGCGTGCATGCCCAAGGTCCCGAGAGGAGAACGGAGGAGAAGGGATTGCAGCGTGACCATCCCCCCGGGGGGTGATTTCTCGCTTTCTGTCTCTATGTCTCTGTCTGTCTGGCGAGCGCACGCGGCCTATAGTGAAAACCTCTCCAAAAAAAAAAAAAAAAAGGCAGTAAAATAAATGCAGACATTCATAGTGGAAGAAGCTTAGGGACATTAGCAATTATATGTTCATATTTCAGTTCAGATAAACAAATTGGGTGTTTATGCTTTCTAAAAGACACTATGACTCATTTGTTAGAGGTTATAGAAATAAACAGGAAATAGCACCTACCTTTAATGGTTATGTAGAACTCATAGACAAGGTAAGGTAAGTATTATCCTATAATGAAGATTATGATTATTATAATGAAAAGGTCCCATATATTATGGGAATTTGGAAGAGGCGTCTATGTTTTTCTTGCCCCTATATTACTTCACCTTGTGCAATTATTTTATAGTTATATGATCAGGAAAAGAGTGAGAGGTGTGAGAGGTGATGCCTAAAATTGTGAATATAGGATAGGTTTTGACAAGTGATAATTTGAAAGTGGAGAACCTTCCAGTCAGAGGGATTAATGAGAGCAAATTAGCAGCAGGAAAGTGTTTAAGAACCAGGAAGATACACTGATTTTCTTTTAGGATAGGGTATGAATAATAGGAGTGGGCTGTTATGACTGGAAAGAGCATAGTGTGACTTCTTAAATGGTAGGCTGAGAGGAATGTGGGTTTTATGTTATGGGAAGTAAAGGGGCATTAGGAATTTTTCTATTCAGTAAGACTTGAATGTATGATTGGTTTAGTCATAGTACAAAAATAAAGAGAGCAGAAGACCTGGAAGTGATACCATTTATCTTCTTTCTTTCAGCATGCTGTCTGGACTCTACTTTTAGAACACATCTCAAACCCTTCCATTTCTCTCCATCTACAATGCACCACCCTTAATCTAAGCTATTATCATTCCTCACCTTGACTTGTATTAGCCTTCTTACACGTTTTTCTTCTAGTGACTTCCTTAATCCACTCCACATTCCTAAGGTAGAGATGCCTTTTTAAAACATGAAGGGTATCTTCTTTTTTTTTTATTTTTTTAATCTTGCTTAACACCCTCTAATGACTTTGCATTACACTTTGAATTGCATTCAAATTTCTTACTTTGGCAAGTAAACCTCTGCTTGTATAGTACAGCCCCTACCAGGTTTTCAAATTTATAGCATTCTACTTTGAAGCCATGTTGATCTCTTTCTAGTTCCTCAAGCACACCCTCACTTCAGGCTGTTTCTGCCTTAGCTCCTTTGCTTATGTTTGGTTCTTCTTAGAGTACTTGATTTGCATTCTTCACAAAGCTGATTCAGGTGTCATTTTTTTCAATAAGCCTTTTAGGACCACTATTTTAAATAGCTTGTTTTTCATATCTCCTGAGTTCTTTTTTTAATCTCAGCAAGCTGTATTGTCTTCATCTTCGTTATAGCACTTTACATTGTATAATTAGTTTTGTTTACTTGTGTACTTTTTACCATTGCAACTGGACTGTGGACTCCGTAATGCAAGAAATTTGTTTTATTACATGCTCTATACTCAGGGCTTTCAATAAATATTTATTAGAAGAATGAAAGCAAGCCTCATATTTAGATTGTTTTTAATATCTTCAAAGAATGTAAGCATGAACTGGGTTTGATTTGCTCTTCTTATTCTTTTATTTATTTATTTATTTATTTATTTATTTTTGAGAGAGGTTTTTTGTTAATAGGGCACGTGTACTCACCAGAGAGAGAGAGAGAGAGAGAGACAGAAAGATAGGCAATGGCCATGCCATAATATCTTCTCAATTATCCTCCTGGGATCTTGGGCATGCATGCACGTGTGCCCGGCGTGATTTTGAAGCCACCAGGTCTGGGATGCAACTGTGGTTGTCCGTGTGAGTGCCCACCAATGTAACCACTATACCATCTGCTGGTTCCCCTTACTTTATTATCACCGATTCTAGTGTTGACAAAATTAGGTAGCTGGAAATCATCAAAAAATAACTTAAAAGCAAAGTAGTCTATATTCTTTATATTTGTGTTCATAAGTACAAAATAGTCACAGAGATGCAGGTAAGGATTTGCTACATAATTGAAATTAGGTGTTATCAATTTAATTAAGAAAATTATCTGACATGCTGTCTAATAACATGCTAGTTTATAAGCATAGACTTACGGACCAACAGCCTGGTTTCCATTACTGTGGCCTACAAGCTGTGTGATTTTGGATGAGTTATTTAGTTTGTACCTCAGTTTGCTCATCTATAAAATGAGAATAATAATGGAACTTTTTAAATAGAGTTGCTACAAATATTAAATTAGTGTTTATGATAGTATTTAGAATACGGCCTGACATTCAGTAAATATTATTGGGAAGATAATGAAGAATTATGTCAGTTTCTGAAAACTGAATTTATTAGAGAACATACAGTCAACTTTCTTTCTGTAGGTTCTACATCTGTGGATTCAATCAAGCATGAATTATATGCTGTGTTGTTAAGCTTATGGTAGTTGCCCCTGTACTGAACATGCACAGACTTTAAAAAGTTTATTTATTTACTCCTCCTATGAGAGAGACAGATAGATACACACACACACACACACACACACACACACACACACACACACGTACCTCCAACAGAGTCTTCATGTTGTAATCCAATCTCGGTCTCAGCCCAGAGAGGTACCTAGATGCAAACTCTCAACCTCTCTCAAGTGGGTCCATTTGTATTATTGCTGTGCCAATTCTTGGCCCCATGAACATGTATAGATTTGTCTCTGAATAATAGAACATAATAACTATTTACATAACATTTACATTTTATTAGGTATTGTAAATAATCTAGAGATGATTGGAAGGATAAAGGAGAATGTTCATAGGTTATATGCAAACACCATACCATTTTATAGAAGGGATTTGAACATCTGCATACTTTGGGAACTGCAAGAGGTCCAGGAACCAGTCCCCCCACAGACAATGAGGATCGGTTGTACTTATGTATGCATATCTTAAAGTATGACTTAGGATAGACCATTCTATTAATAATTCAAATATGTATTATTTTTACCCTTAATTTAACCTCTTTTGTTTGTTAAAACATTTATTCTAGAATGATATAGGCATAGTTGTTTAAGTGACTTTGGCCTGCTTCCACACTTAGGCAGCTCTAGTTTGAGATTCATTTCTTTATTAGAGATCAAGAATTTTTTAGGAGTCACACATTAATGATTGACAAAGTTATTTATAGTACACATCTTCACCCCTCCCCCAGAGAGAGATTTTTGCTATAGGGCGCGTGTGCTCAACAGAGACAGAGAGACAGAAAGTGAGAAATCACCCCCAGGGGAGATGGCCTCTCCACAATCCCTTCTCCTCCATTCTCCTCTTGGAATCTTGGGCATGCATGCACATATGCCCTCCTGGGTCCAGGACTTGAACTGTCGTTGACTACATGGGAGTGCAGTTACGTAACGATTACACCATCTGCTGGTCCCACACATCTTTTTTTAAAAAAATAAGTCTTCACAAGTCTTCATTTGAGAATAAAAATTATCTTTAATTCTGTGTTTCTCAGTTTTTTAGAATCACTTATAAGGTTTAAAAATGACCATCAAGGCATCACTCTTGATCTAGTTAAATAAGAATATCTGGCATAAATCTTGCATTGGTATATTGAAAGTATTCTCTGTGGACTGTGCAGCTGAAATTGAAAACTTTTTTTTTCTTTTAATTTTTCTAGAGGGCATATGTGCTAGCTAGAGAGACAGAGAGAAAAGAAAAGTGAGAAATTACCTCTTTTGGAGAATGGTCATGCCACAATTCCATCTCCCTCATTTTTCTCTCCTTTTGGGATTTTTGGCTTGAACACATACACACCTAGAGTGTTCCTCAAACCACTGGGTCCAGAACTGGAATCACAGTATTAGCCATGTGGGATCCAGCTACCTTCACTACCGTGTCATAGACTGGTCCTAAAACTGCTTTTTGAGGTACTGCCTTTTGACAAGTAGTTCTGAACTTTCTTAAAACTAAATATTGCCTGATTATGTACTAACAATGATTTTAAGAGATTTTTTATTCATTAAGTTAAGAACTAGTCATGTGTGATGTCTATTTGTGAGAGATCAGTGTTAAGAGTAAGGGTTAGCCAGGTGGTGTAGTCTTTCTCCCCACCAATCTCTCCCCTTCTCGCCAGTGAGTATACCCATGCCTTGTAGTAAAAACAGAAATGAAAAAAAGAAAAGAATATTCTGAAAGTCACAGATTGTTTAATTTCTTAAGAAAATAGTGGGTTATCTAGTTTTCTTAGAACTGTTACCAGTTTTTATGGAGAAATATGAGTAGAAAAATAATAGGTATATGTTTATATGTGTATAAGGTATAGAGTACAGAAAATATAAACACTATAATAGGTTGTTAATATTTTTAGATTTAGCATGAGAAATTTTTTTTTTTTTTGGAGAGGTTTTCGCTATATGGCGCATAAGCTTGCCAGACAGAGAGAGACGTAGAGACAGAAAGCGAGAAATCACCCCCCAGGGGGGATGGTCACGCCGCAATCCCTTCTCCTCCATTCTCCTCTTGGGATCTTGGGCACGCATGCACACGCGCCCGGCGTGAGTTTTAAGCTACCAGGTCCGGGACGCGAACCACGGTCGACTATGTGGGAGTCCAGCGACATAGCCATTATGCTAACTGCTGGTTCCCAAGCATGAGAAATTTTGATCGACAACAATTATATAGAATGTTTGTTATTAAGTGTGATTTTACTGAAGTACAGGTATTTGATTTTATATGTTATGAGGCTGGTGTGCAGGAGTGTTCTTTGTATGTAAGCCCTTTGCCAAATGCCGTGAATTCTTATCTCCACGGAGCTCCTTGCTTTATACTTCCAGTACTTGTATAGTAATTCTGAAATTAATACAAACTTTTCCCTTTTTTAAAAACATCTTGATGTAGAACATTTATTTATTTATTTTTCCTTGAAACAAAGTTTAGGCCAGTGGGAAAAAACTGTGATCAAAGAATTGTACATTTTCTTCTTCTGATTTGTATTAGGAAATGACATTGTGATCCATTATACTATAAGTAAAATATTACAAATATTTACAGGGAAATATTAAAAATAAATCAAACAGGAAAGGCAAGATGAAATAAACTGGTTTTTCAGAAATCTCTATGTGTTGCCATCAGCACAGCAGAGAGTCAAAATAATGAAATAGCTAAGTTCCCCTGATCACAAATTTCTAAAGAGCAAGAGAAGGGGAAGAAACAGGGTGAAAATGGTGGTGTGAAAGGAATGGATGTTAGCAGCACTGCTTCAGTAGCCAATCTATTTAATGAATATACCTCCCTGTATTTAGTAAATTCTGAACAAGGCTAAATTTCAAGATATTCCTTGAACTGAAATTAGAAAATACCCTGGCAGTGGAAATAGCTCTTTCAACTAAATTTAATAAGAGCTTCTTTTCCAAGAAGGACTATTGTGAGCAAAAGCCTGGTCTGGCATCAAAAGCACTCACAGCAGCCCTTCCATCTCTTTGATAAAAGCTTCATAAACATCATCTTTAGTCTGTACCGAGAAAAGAACAGGAGGACCTGCTTTGGTGGCTACTTTGGCAAGGGGCACAGCACAATCATTCTCTGACTTTCTTTGGGGAGCAGCCATAGCACCTTTATCCTCCTGTTACACCCTCAGTGCAGTGGGCACAGTTAGAGTAATCTCTGCCTTGGGATTTTTGGTCTTCCGTGGCTTTCTTCTCAATGATGGCCATACTTGCATTACCTTCTTTGGGTCACTGAAGCAAGCTGGGTGAAAAAAGAAAAAAAGAATACTCCTCTCTTACTCCTCTCCTTTCCCCTAGGGGGAAAAAAAACCCCACAACTGTTACTTATGGTGGTATTAGAGAAAATGATGGTTCTTAGCCTTGGGGCAAATTTCTCTTCTGGTTTTCACTGATGGCATTTTTAAAGTTAATGAATGAGGGTTATCTAACATTTTTTTAATGTAATAGTTTACTCTATTTTATTTAGATGTACCAATTTGAGGACTTGGGAATGCTTTGTCTCTACCCAATACCCAAATGTAAGTCAACTGTGGTGATTCTTTACTATGGAAAACCAACAAGAATCACTGGGGAACTTTAAAAAATACTGTGGAGTAGGTCTGAGTATGCCCTGAGTATCCTGATTTTAAGTTTATGAGAGTCCACCCCGTATTTTTTTTTTTTTTTGAGAGAGAGCAATAAAGCAAAACCTAAAACTGTGAAACTTAACCAGAATTTCTGTGATTCATTATAATTTATGTAATTAAAATGATCTGCTGCAGTTAAAACTACTAGTAAGGTCTTAGGTTTCCCCAAGATCATGAACATTAAGATATTGTACATATATAGGTGAAAATAAACATTGATTGGCAAGTATGTAGTAACGTGTGTGTGTGTGTATGTTTATGTTCATGCATGTGTACAGTGTTTTTCATTTTGTTTTTTCTTTTTAAAGTTACATAACAAACTTCTGGAGACAGAGCGCCAACTTGGGGAAGCTCATGGTAGGCTGAAGGAACAGAGACAGCTTTCAAGTGAAAAGTTGATGGATAAAGAACAACAAGTGGCTGATCTGCAACTCAAACTTTCGCGTTTAGAGGAACAGGTATACTAGTATTTCAAATGAATCTATCAGCATATGAATGGATGGATTTGAGGCATCTTAATAGCTATTATTATATTTCTTCAATCTTTTAAATATTTTGAAATTTTATTTATTTATTTCCAACAGAAGAATGCTACTTATTAACTACATTAGGGCATTCTGTTTTGATTGAATTTTCCAAAGTTCTCAACAAAAATGCAAAAGGAAAACTGTTTTAGCTTTAGGCAAGAAAAATTCTTAGGGGTGAGCTGCTGTCAGACTGCTGTAGTCTTTTTACCCAGGAAGGACAATTACTAATGAAACAGTGAAAAAAATTAAGTTAGTGAGGACCGTTAATGGCATGTAGTTGGTACATATAAACTTTGAGCTTGCATCTAAAGATTTTTTTTAAATTAAACATATGATTGGATGCTATTCTCCTTAAAGTTGCAATTGTTAAAACAATACTTATATGGATAAAGTAATAGTTACCATTAAATTTTATCTTTTATTGAAATTGAAATTCAGGGTAAAATCAGAAGCTACTACAATACATTTTTTTAGAACTAAATTTAGAATATTTTAAATTATCCTATTGATATATTTTTCCAGTAAGTGATTACTATGACTATTATAAAAAAATGCCAATAGTGTACTTTAGCTTATTATTACAAATAATTTGTATGTAATTAATTTTGTTTATATTAATATATAAAAATAACAATAAACTAAATAACAACTTGGAAAAAGGTTTGCTTTCTTTTTAGGCTGAGAATCCTTTCTTATAGATTGATTTCTTCATCATGAGATTAAGATTCTGCAAAATATCTATTTATGAGATGTTGCTTTTAAAATTGACTTTATACTTTGTCTGAATTTATGTTTCTGTTCAGACTGGAGAATTGAATACCAGATATTTGTGAATGATAACATTATGCCTTTATGTTAACTGACAGGCTTAATTTTTTTTTTTAAGTTGAAGGAAAAAGTAACAAATTCCACAGAATTGCAACATCAATTAGATAAAACAAAGCAACAGCATCAAGAGCAACAAGCTCTTCAACAAAGCACCACAGCAAAACTTCGAGAAGCTCAGGTAAATGTTTGAATTATTAGCCTTTAGGACACAAATTAACGAAATCATTGTTCTTTCATTATGACACTACTAGATAATGTCAACTACTTGATTATATGGGATTTTGATCATTTTCAAAATCTGGATAATCATAAAATACTTTTGATAATTCTGTTGAAAGTGTTTCTAAAGTAGTTTTAAATTATTCTTTATCTGTTATACAGTTGTATAAAATATTTATTGACATTTATTAAATTTCTTTCATAGATAAATTTATTACATGTATTTATTCAATAAACTTATATTCATCTAAATTGTTATTATTTAGTAATAGTGAATTATTACTTATTAAAATAACTTATGTAAAATTTAAAATGTTCAAATAAAATTTTGTGATTCAATTAGCCCTGTAATGAACATTTTATATTGAACATTTATACAATATAAAGAACATTTTATATTGCCTACAATAGAATTTAGTGTTTGCTAGTCATATCTTTTTCTGCTTTTAGCCATCACCTAGACATTGAAAAAATTATAGATATGTAGAGAATATAATTGATAGGATTAAATTTATGCAGCTTCTACAGTATAGTTTAGAAGAGTTTTAAAGAGTTAAGTGTTTATTATATTACAGTGAGGAGAGGGTGCCCAAATGTCTGGAATTATTTTGACTCTGATACTAATTTTTTCCTTCATTCTTCTATTAATGCACTGAGTATTATTGAGCACTATGTATCAGGAACAATACTCAGTAGTGAGAATAAAGAGACAGTGTCCTCTAGGAAATGACAATTTAATGGTGTGTGCATAGAAACAAAGTTGGAGTTTGTTGGAGGAAATAATACTCCTCTCTTTCCTATCTGAGTTTGAAAAGTAGCATGACGGTAAGGATGATAGAGATCAAAATATTGGATTCATATTTTTAAATTTTGAGTCAATAAATGTTTACTCTAAGCCAAAGAATGATTTTGTGAATGTGGCAGCATATAAAACAGATAAAAGTATCTGCTTTCCTGTAGCTTAGTAAGGGAGGCAAATAAAACTGAGGTAAGGAGGCAACATATATAGTGTTTTAAATGGTGATCAATACTATGGAGCTGACTAAAGGAGGGATAAAGAGAATGAAGTATCTGGGGGGCCTGATGGTGAGACTGCAGCGTTAGGTTGGGTTGCAAGGAAAGACCTTTCTGAGAAGATTAAAGACCTGAAGTAAGAGAAAGTTTGAGCCCTGTAGATATTACAGAGAAGAGCATGAGCACTTGACATTAAAAAATCCCTGTGGCCTACTGGTTAAGGGAGCCAGATATGGCTGACTACATGATTCAAGTTCAGCCCTAGAGGCTTGAAAAACAAGTAAAGATATGTGTTTACACATGTCCCAAATCCCAACATGATGGTGAAATGGAGGAGAAGAGACTGTGATGTGACCATGGCCCATTTGGGAGGGTACTTCCTCTTGATCTCTCTGTCTCTCTCTATCAAAAGAAAAAAAAGAAAAAGTTCTAAGGCAGCAGTATGTCTGTGGAATAATAGAAAGTCAATGGCTGATATGGTGTGAATGATAAAAGAGTTAAAAGGGCTATAATCATGAAGATTATAGGGGGTCAGAACATGTATAGTCTCATATGTAATTTAAAGGACTTATTTTATTCTGAGTCAGGTGAGAAGTCATTTGAGGTTTTTGAGCAAAGAAGTGATATGATCTGACCTATAATTTTATAGATTTACTCTGGCTACTGTTTAAGAATAAACTGTAGGAGGCCAGGAGGTGGTGTAGTAGTTGAGGTACTAGGTTCCACATGGCTGATTGTTAAGTTTGAGTGGTTTGAAAAACCATGCTGTGTGTGTGTGTGTGTGTGCCCGCCCAAAGAGGAGAATAGAGGAAAAAGGATTGTGTCATGGCCATCTCTTGGTGGGAAGGGGGCTGTGGAAGTGATTTCTCATTTTCCCTCTCTCTATCTCTCTCTCTGGTGAGGACAGGTATCCTATGGTAAAAATCTTAAAAAAAAGAAAAAGAGAATAGACTGTAGGACATATGAATAGAGGCAGAGAAATTAACTAGTTTCTCTTGTCTGTATTAGTATTGACAAGAAATGATGTGGCTTGGACCAAAATGGAAACTGTAGTCAGTGAGAAGTGGTCAGATTCTAGTTACATTTTAAAGATAAAGCTGATTTACTGATAGATGATGTAGATATTGAGAGAGATGTTAAGGATAATTCCAAGTATTTGGGCCTAGACAATTGAAAGGATGCAGGTTAAGCAAGATGAAGACCGAGAACCCTATCGGATTTGGCAACATGGTGATCATCGATGATCTTGATAAGGGCAGTTTGAATAGAAAAGATGAGACGAAAGCCTGATTGGAGACTGTTCAAGAGAGAAGGGGAAGAAAGAATTTTGATAGAATATATATAGATAAATCTAGGAATTTTACTTATTAAAAATTGTTTTATTTTTTTCGGCTTGTTTATGATAGGGTGCAGGTGTGTGCATGTGAGAGTAAGAATGAGAGCATTGAACCCCCTCTACAGGGTCTGGCCATGTTGTGATTCCTTCTTCCAGTCGTTCAGCCTGTCAGATTCAGGGCATTAACATACATGTCCAGCAGGTTTTAGACCACCTGGGGTGGGGATTCAAACCATGGTAGCCATGTGGGATACAGCTTCTCTTGAGCACTATGTTATTTATTGGTTTTATTGAAAGAGTAGGAAAGAAGTGGCTTAGTAAAGCTAGCATAAGAATTTTGCTTATGGTCAGTAGTCATGTAGACTTTCTTATACTCTAGAATTAAATATATTCATCTAGCTACAGGTAAAGCTGGAAATGAAAGCCTTTCACCATCATATCGGCAGGTTGTCTTCAACTGAGAGGAAACCAAGGGGCTCAGTTGAACATGCTGTTCCTTATTCTACATTTTCCAGTAAGCTAAAATTCTTGTTCCCTGTGTGGGAAGAAGAAAACGATGGCAAGAGGACAAAGTCTTTTATGAAAAAATGAAGAGTCCTAAAAATGAATTACAAAGATGTAATGAGTATAGTTCTAGGTGTGTGTGTGTCTATGTAATATTATCATTGTAGCATAGAGGACAGTTATCTAGTCCAGTCTAGAAAAGAGCAGTCATGGAACACTTAGAAGTCACGTTCTGAGTCACAAGATGAATAAATAGTTCTGGGTACAAAGATAGTGATAGTGAGAAGTATACTCCAGGTAAAAGTTACAAGGGCAAGGATACCAAAGCTACTAGGCTTTGCTAGAGCTTCAAGTATAAGTTAAAGATTAGTTAGAGAAGACATGGGTAAATTTATAGAAGAGCTTATGTGTCATTGATACTTGAAGATGGAAAGGTAGTGAAGATATTAAGAATGATATGCCATAGATAGGGACCAGCAGTTAGCGTAATGGCTGTGTCGCTGGACTCCCATGTAGTCGGCCGCGGTTTGTAACCCCGACCCGGTGGCTTAAAACTCAACGCCGGGCATATGTGCATGCGTGCCCAAGATCTCGAGAGGAGAATAGAGGAGAAGGGATTGCGGCGTAGCCATCCCCCCTGGGGGGTGATTTCTCACTTTCTGTCTCTCTGTCTCTCTCTGTCTGGTGAGCACACATGCCCTGTAGCAAAAACCTCTCAAAAAAAAAAAAAAGAATTATATGCCATAGATAGATTGATTGATTGATTTAAATTTGCTATAAGGTTCATGCACTTGCCAGAGGCAGGGGTGGATGGGTGTGGGGAATAAGAACGAAGCCCTCGGTGGGGATGGCTATGCCACAGTCCCTTCTTTTCCATTTTCCTCTTGGGATTTTGGGTACACATGCACATGTTCTTGGCATGTTTTTTCAGTATGCCAGGTCTAGGACTCAAATAGTGCAGTTGACCTTAACCACTGCCTTAACCACCACACCAATGGCAGGCTTCACTTTTTTCTTTTTTTAAAAAAGATATTTTTGCTTTAGGGCACATGTGCTTGCCAGAGAGAAAGAGAGAGACAGAGAGACGAAAAGTGAGAAATCATCCCCTGGGGGGATGGTCACCCTGCAATTTCTCCTCAATTCTCCTATCGGGACTTTTGGGAATGCTTGCATGTACACCTGGCATGTGTGTAAAGCCTCTAGGTCTGGGTCTTTTTTTTTTTTTTTTTTTTTGAGGGAGAGATTTTTATTAAAGGGGGCGGGGCCAGACAGACAGAGAGAGACATAGAGACAGAAAGCAAGAAATCATCCCCCAGGGGGGATGGTCACGCCACAATCCCTTCTCCTCCATTCTCCTCTCGGGATCTTGGGCACGCACGCATACGCGCCCGACATGAGTTTTAAGCCACCACGTCCGGGACGCGAACTGCGGTCGACTACGTGGGAGTCCAGTGACATAGCCATTACGCTAACTGCTGGTTCTCCAGGTCTGGGTCTTGAACCATGGTCATCCATGTGGGAGTCCAGCAATGTAACCATTACAACATCTGCTGGTCCCAAGGGCTTGCCTTTGAAATAGACTGTTCTTGCAGTTGTGTGAAAGATGGATTTGAATGGGATGGGTTTAACTGAAATGAATCAGTTAAGAGACTATATGCAACATTCAGATAAAATTAATAATGGTCTTAGTCTAAGCAATTTTTTTTGAGAGGTTTTTGCTATAGGCCGCATGCGCTTGCCAGAAAGACAGAGAAAGGCAGAGAGACAGAAAGTGAGAAATCACTCCCCAGGGGGGATGGCCACGCTGCAATCCCTTCTCCTCCATTCTCCTCTCGGGATCTTGGGCATGCATGCACATGCACCTGGTGTGAGTTGAAGCCATCGGGTCCAGGACTCGAACCATGGTTGACTACATGGGAGCCCAGCGACAAAGCCATTCTGCCAACCGCTGGTCCCCAACATAAATATAAATATTATAGGATGAAAAAATCTACGTATGTCATTCTTACAAATCCAATGTTTCTAGGTAAAGTTGGAGTTAGTAATAGCTGAATAAAAGGCAAAAAGAAAACTTAAGAGAGACTATTGAAGCTTATAAGTAGTTATTGAGGGGACTGTATGAGGATCCCATTCAAATAAAAGGATTGACGAGATAATTCTGACTATGTAATGGAGGTTAGAATTCAGACATTTGTAGTTACACCAGTCTATGGAGGTTTGAGATTTTACTCTAAGAGTGGTTAGAAGTGTAGGACTGGAGAAAGCAGATTGCAATACTGATCTAGAATTGGACTTTTGGTAGGGTGGCTGTCTTGGAAATTTTGGGTGAAAGGAAATGGAGAATGTGGTTGAAAGAATAGTTAAGATGAGCTTATATCCATGAGGTTCATGAAGAGAAGCCAGGCATATGCTGAATAAGCTAGAAAGAAATGAAAGTCTCTGACATCAAGGAGCAGAGATGAGATCATCAAATTGGAAGGCAGCAAGGAAGTTGTGGTCACAGAGTAGGACAGTTGGAATTTTTTTTGCTGGAACAATTTCATGTGATTACAAGATCCTGTATAAGTCATTGAAATGTGGAAGTCCAGGAATTAAGATAATATTAATGCTGAGGTTATGCTCTTAATTCTCTATATATTTTGTATTTCCCAGGAAATTTGCAGAAATTGGGATTGAGAGAAAGACTAAATCAGGTCTCAAGCCTTCAGTGAATGAGGTAGGGATTTTTAGATGATAGCAACAAAGAGTAGAGTGTAGAATAAGTAAATGACACACTCCCCAAAGCACATGGAAACTTTTTACCTGAGGGAGAGAGTAATGACAATAAAAAACAAAAGAAAAACCAAAAAACAAAAAAGTCAGCCTCCTCTGCTTGCCACTGAATAGAAAAAGGTGTGAATATTGGCATCTATTGAGGGAAAACCAAATTTCAATTAAAACTGGAAAACGGAATTACTATTATGGAAAAAACTTTAGGTCTGGAAATGTGGTTCCAGAAGATTAATGGCCTGTGAAGAGAGGTTATTGGTGACAGAGACACTAGGTGAGAGCAGAGAGGGTAGGTTGCCTTTTATCGTTTTGTGATTGAAACTTAGAAGCACAAAAAATGTTTGAAAGTGTTGATCTCGAATGTTTTAATATTGGCACCAATCATTGAAAGTACCAGGTGTTTGCTGGCTCTGTCTCAGCATGGAGATAAGGACTACTGTAAAGTTTTCAGAGGGGCTGGTTAGAACCTTGTTCTGGGTAGAGGCCCTGGTTCGTAAAATAATTGAGGCAGTGGCAAAGGCTGTGGATCAGAAAGCTTGACAAAGCTCATGGGCACTGTTTGGATGGGTTATTGCACTGTGCTCTGTGTAACATTAAGGTTCTTGGTAAAGTAAGAGAAAAGGCATCCCTTGATCTATGAATTCAAGAGTTCTATTGGAGTACTGAAGTGAGCCTGTGAAAGTGTATGTATGCTATGGTGCAATACTTTATTTTTCTGTTCATTCAATGAATATTTTAGAACATGTGTATCAGATATCTTGGATACATCAATGAATAAAACAGATAAAAATTTTCACCCTTGTGCAGCATACAGTCTAATGGGTAGGGTGAATAGAGGCAGATAAACATGAAAAGTAAATAAGTTATTTAATGTGTTAGAAGACAAGTGCTATGGAAAGAAGAAAATAACCAGGATAGAAAGTAATGAGAAAGGCCATGATCTTGAATGTAAGGTTGGGTAGGCCTAATTGAGAAGATGATGTTTGAGGGAACATTTGAAGATAAAGGGAGTAAACTATGTGACCCTGTGAGGGAAGAGTTCTAGGCAGAAAGAAAGTTAGTGCAAAGCCTCCAGGGTGGGGATGTGCCTGATGTGATTAAAGAACAATGAATCCCATTTGCCTTAAATGGATCAGAAGAGTTTTAAGAGGTGAGGTTACAGTGGTAGGGAAATAAATGTGATTAGCTAAAGGGTTTTTGTTCAATTCTAGCATATTATCAACAATATAGATATATACTATAAAATACATAGTAAAATACATAGTAAATGTGCTATGCTAAAATGTAATAATTAATTTAAAATGTAATTTGACTAGAAATTTTATTATTAGTCATTTTATGTTTGAGGAATAACTTTTTAAGTTCTCTATCCTTAAAGAAGTAGTTTTAAATTCTTTACAGAATGATTTGGAACAAGTACTACGACAAATTGGTGATAAGGACCAAAAAATCCAGAACCTTGAAGCCTTATTACAGAAGAGTAAAGAAAATATTTCTTTACTAGAAAAGGAAAGAGAAGATCTTTATGCAAAAATTCAGGCTGGTGAAGGAGAGACTGCTGTTCTTAACCAATTACAAGAGAAAAACCATACATTACAGGAACAAGTAAGCTTGTAAAAATGTATTCTATTTCTAAAATTCACTTTTATCACATTAAATCTTACTAAATACTTTTAAAAATGATTCTTCATTCTGGCTTCCTTTTTTCTTTTTTTTTTTTAAGAAGAGAGATTTTTACTATAGGGCATGTACACTCACCAGAAAGACAGAGACAGAGAGACAGAGAGCGAGAAATCATTCTTCACAGGGGATGGCCATGCTGCAATACCATTGCATTCTCCATTCTCCTTTTGGGATTTTGGATATTCACCCACAGTGGCCTGGTGATTTTCAAGCCACTGGGTAGGGGACTTGAACCACAGTTGAGATGTTATTAATAAAGCCTAAACTGGGACCAGCAGGTGGCATAATGGTTATGTCTCTGGACTCCCACATAATTGACTGCAGCTTGAGTCCTGGACCTGGCAGCTTAAAACTCATGCTGGGTGTGTATGTGTGCATACCCAAAATTCTGAGAGGAGAATGGAAGAGAAGGGACTGTGACATGACCATCTCCCCAGACGGTAATTTCTCGTTTTCTGTCTCTTTCTCTCATTGTCTCTCTGGTGAGCATACACATCCTATAGCAAACAAACAAAACCTCTTTCTAAATAAAAAGAAAATAATGCATAAGCCTCATGGCATTTTGTAATGTTTAAAAAAAGAATAACAAAATATATTCTCAAAGGTACTAATCAAATGTGTTACTGTTTATTTGTTAATGTACAGACTTAATGGGTAATTACATTTTGGTAATGTGTTGCTTAGGACAGTATATAGCTGATAATTTTGCTAAGTTGCTTTATTGTTCTAACATTCATAAGTAGTTTAAAAAATTCATACAATTTGGATGAATACATTTTCAAACTGAAAAAAGTTACAGGTTTTTCTTGGGAAGAATTGTCTAAAAAGAAAATGATTATTATCTAAATGAGAAGGTATCTAAAACAAAGTGTCAATAAGTTATTTCACTTGTCTAACTTGGAAATTAGAACATAACAGATTTTTCCCCCAAAATTTCAAAGTTTGTTTTGATAAATCAGTACAAGGAACTTTTTAGGCTCCTCTTTGACATTGCTTATCATACAAATATCAGAAAAGCCCATCATTTTTTTTTTAAGAAGAGTAAATTAAATTAAATCTACATGCTTCTGTTTCTGGCTATGTTGAAGTAACAAGTACCTATATAACCTGCCTACCATAAACAACTAGAAAAGTAGAAAATATGTATAAAACCACTATTTGCAGACATTGGACCAAAAGCAGTGCGGGACTGTTATCCCTGAGAGAAGGAAAAGAAGTGAGTGAACCCTTTGATCCTCTAACTTTGAGCCAGAGATGTTTTTCTAGACTGTGGTACAGGTTGGGGGAATCCCTAAAAAGCATAGAATAAGCAAATATTGAGTTGTTGGAAAAATCATGGCACATTTATGCATAGAAAAATATGTCCGTCTTTTCTGACAGCCCATTAGAACATGGTATCAGTGAACATGAAGACAATGAACTTGATCAAAATGAAACACAGAGAGGAAAAAAGGCTGGCAAGTAAAAAACAGTGGGGAAATGACCCATAAGAAGTTACACATTAGGTAGAATATATATGACTAATATATACAACTAATGTCATAGAAGGGTAAGAAGGAAGAAAATATTTGTAGAAATGATAGCTGGAAAACTGAAAAATATAAATCTACATATTCAAAAACCTCAGTGAACTCCAAGTCAAGTACATCAAAAAAAAGTCAGATGATTTAGATTTATGTCAGATGATTTAGATTTTATCTGAATGGAAAAAAAATGTATGTCCTTCAAAAAATGCCATTACCAAAAATAAAAGCCAAGACAGACTATCCAGAAATACCCAGAATAGTTAAGGAAGTTCTGCTACTCAGATTAGTGGTTATCAGGAACTACATGAGGGAGGGCAGAAAGAAACATTTTGGAATAATAGATGTGGTCTCTGTGTTAATTGTGAAAATGGTTAAACAAGTGGAAACATTTATCCAGTCTCAAACTATACACTTAAACTGGATGAGTTTTAGGCAAATTATAGCTTAGTAGAGATGCTCTTAAAATAATATATCTTTGAATTTGTTATAGTTTTTTATAATTTGAGATATTATGTTTACTTATTTTTGGAAAGATGTGACTTATTTTACTTGAGATAATTGAAGATAACCTATCATAGAACAGTTTGATATTCTCGTGGTGCTTAAACATGTTTTAGTTTGTTATATATTTGTGAACTTCTTTATTAGAGACTTCTTATATAATAGGTAACTCAACTAACAGAGAAGCTGAAGAATCAGTCGGAAAGTCATAAACAAGCCCAAGAGAATTTGCATGACCAGGTACAAGAACAAAAGGTGCACCTTAGAGCTGCACAAGACCGTGTCCTTTCCCTAGAAACCAGTGTCAATGAATTGAACAGTCAATTAAATGAAAGCAAGGAGAAGGTCTCACAGCTTGACATACAGGTAAAATGAATTAGTCTATGTAATGAATTTATGTGACTAAAGCACCAATTTTAGACTGTCAAATGTTTGAAGTTCCATTTATTTCTATATATTTGCATTATATGTTAATTGGGAAAAATTAGGAATAGTTATTGGATAAAGGTTATATCCAGACAATTTGTTTTCTGTTAGCTCCTCCCTCTCCTCATTCCTCATAAACTATACTTGAAATCACTAAATATTTTCCTTTTTCTTTGTTTCAATCAAGTCTCTATTCCTATTTCTGATGTTCAAATTAGTTTGTTATTATAGCATTAAATTTCTCTGCTAAACATATATTTTTTACTTACCTTCCTTTAAACATTTGATTAAAACAAAATTAGCCTTATTTGGTACCAACATATTTTTTGTTGTTGTTGGAGAGTGTTTTTTGCTATAGGGCATGTGCGCTCGCCAGAAAGACAAAGAGACAGAAAGTGAGAAATCACCTCTTAGCGGGGATGGTCACGCCGCAATCCCTTCTCCTCCATTCTCCTCTCGGGATCTTGGGCATGCAGGTACAGGTGCCTGGTGTGAGTTTAAACCACAGGGTCCGGGACTCAAGCCACAGTCAACTATATGGGAGTTCAGCAACATAGCCATTACGCTAACTGCTGGTCCCACCAATGTATATTTTAATATGCAGTATATTCTTTCAGAAATCCATTCAGCTGTCTGTGAGGGACTGGTTTCAGGACCCACTGTGGATACCAAATTCCTTTGATGCTTATATCTCTTATGTAACATGGCATAGACTTTGCATATAAGCTGTGCATATACTCTGATATACTTTAAATCATCTCTAGATTACTTAGAATACCTAATGTAATGTAATGCTATATAAATAGTTATATGGTATTATTTTTTTAATTTGTATTACTCTTTATTTTATTTCTTTTTTTTATTGGTTTTTCAATATTATGTGGAACCCATGGATATGGAGGGCTGACTATAGCAGTGAGTCAGAAAAACAAAAACTCAGTTTTTCCTACTATCCATATCTTATAACACAGATCAGTACTGTGATCCCAGAATATGTTGGGGCTTTTCCCCACACACCAAGGAATTAGTTCTGCACTCAATCAATGTCTTCTAATCTAATTCAGTTCTGACCTTATCTACCTACAGGTAGGGTCACATCTCATAAGTTGAGTGTTTAATCCCACAAGACTGCTCCCCCATTTTAGATACCAATTACAAGTTTGGACCTTCAGAATTCCTCATTAAGTTAGGGTTCCCATGACCCTCACCTCTTCAAGTTTAATTACTTTGTTATATTGGCTTAGAAAACTAAGGAAAACATTTATGGTCATTTACGGTTACCAGTTTATTCTAAAGGATATTTTAAAGGAAACAAACATCCAGGTAAAAAAATAAATAGGGCAAGGTCTGGAAGGGCCCAAAGTGCAAGAACTTAAATCCATCCCCATCGACTGGGGTGTACCACTGTCTTGTGCAACAGTGAATTTCTTGTTTATCTTCCTGTAAGCTTCCATGTTTTCAGCTATCCATAAACTCTCTGAATCTTGTCCTTAAGATTCTTATGAAGGCTTCTCTCACCTCCCCAGAAATGGGGAATGGGACAGAAAGTCATATCCTTCTAATCCTGCCTTGGTCTTGCCATTGACCAGTTTCTATCTTGAAGATAATTAGTATCTGCCAGCCATGAATCAACTTACTAGCAAGCAAATTCCAAGGATTATTATTATTTTTTTGTTTCCATGAATATGTTTATTTCAGTTTTCATTTGTTTAGTATCTTTTCCTTTTATTTCAAGTTCTTTTATACATTCAATCACGTTATTTAGCTTGCAAAGTGAACATTCTAACATGTGTACATTTCTCCCCAGTCCAGTTGATAATACTGTAAAGTTATCTTCAATAGATAATACCACATTTCTTTGTCCTGTTAATGCTATGCCTCTCTATTTTTCTCCTTAATGTCCTTCCTCAGACTCTACTCCTTCACCCACCCTCTTCCCACACTATATCTGGTATTCACAACCATTTACTGTGTTTCTATAGTAGTCATTCAGTTTCTGTCATAGGGTGGATACTCGGTATATATTAAGTGGAGACATATGATGTCTCTCCTTCATAGTCTGGCTTGCTTTACTAAGCAATAAATCTTCCATATTCGTCCACTTTCTGTCAAAAGCCAGGGTCTTGTTTTTTATGGCTGAGTAGTAGTCCATAGAGTATATGTGCTACAGTTTTTGAATCCATTCATCTGCTCATGGGCATTTGGTATTCTGAGAGTATATGTGCCATACTTTTTCAATCCATTCATCTGTTCGTGGGCATTTGAGTTGGTTCCATGTCTTAGCAATTGTGAATAATGCTGCAATAAATATCAATATGCAAGCACTTTTCTGACTGAAGATTCTTCTGTCCTTTGGGTAGATACCAAGGAGTGGGATTGTTGGATCATATGGTAGTTCTATTTGTAGATCTTTGAGAAATCTCCAAATTGTTCTCCACAGTGACTGGGTCAGTTTATATTCCCACCAGCAATGGGAATATAACTCTCTTATGAGAGTTCCCCTTTTGCCACACTCCTGCCAGCACTTATTATTATTATTTTTTATCTTAGTTATTCTGACTAGGGTTAGGTGGTATCTCATTGTGGTTTTGATATGTATCTCTCTTACAATGAGAGATGTTGAGCATTTTTTCATATGTCTTTTGGTTATTCATATATCATCCTCAGAAAGTGTTTTTTTTTTTTTCCAGATCATTCTCCCATCTTTTAATAGGATTGATCATCTTTTTTTTCAGGACAGCTGCTTGAGTTTCTTGTGTATTCTGGTTACCAGTGTTTATCTGATGCATAGTTTACAAAAATATTTTCCTATTCTGAGGGTTGTTGATTCACACTAATTACTGTGTCTTTTGCCATGCAAAAACTTCTTAATCTGATGTAATCCCACTTGTCTATTTTAGGGATTATAAACTGTGTTTTGGGGGTCTTATTTAAGAAGTCTTTGCCTACTCCAATGTTTCCCAGAGTTTCCCCAGTGTTTTCCAGGAGCAGTTTTACAGTTTGAGGTCTTAGGTTTATATCTTTGATCCACCTCGAGTTGATTTTTGTCAAAGGTGAGAGGTAGGGGTTCAGATTCATCTTTCTGCAGGTAGAAATTCAGTTTTTCCAGCACCATTTGCTGAAGAGGTTTTCTTTTTCCCATTGGATTGACTAGTACCCTTTGTCAAAAATCAGCTGATTGTATGTTTGGGAATTTTTTTCTGGGGACTTTATTCTGTTCCATTGGTCCACTTGTCTGTTTCTGTGCCAGTACCATGCTGTTTTGATTACTACAGCTTTGTAGTATATTTTTGGGTCTGGGCGTGAGATGCTGCCCACTCCACTCTTCTTGTGCAGGATTGTTTTGTAAATACAAGCTATCTTATGATTCCAGACAAATTTTATGATTGTCTTTTCTAGATCTGTGAAAAATGTGTCTGGTACTTTGATTGGGATTGCATTAAATATGTAGATTTATTTGGGTAGAATTGCCATTTTGATTACATTAATTCTTCCAATCCAGGTACATGGGATGTCCTTCCACTTTCTTGTGCCATTTTCAATTTCCTTTTTTAGCTTCTTGTTGTTTTCCTTGTGGAGGTCTTTAACTTCTTTGATTAGATCTATTCCTAGGTATCTTATACTTTTTGTGGCTATCATAAATGGAATTACTTTTTTTTTCAGTTTTAACTCAGTCTGCCTGCTTTTCGTATATAGAAATGCTATAGATTTCTGTATATTGATTTTGTATCCTGCAACTTTGCTGTATTCATATATTATTTCCAGGAATTTCTTAATGGATACCATTGGGTCTTCTATGTATACAATCATGTCATCTGCAAATAGAGTTTCACCTCTTCTTTTCCTATCTGAATACCTTTTATTTTATTCTCTTTTCTGATCGCATTGGCGAGGACTTCCAGTACTATATCAAAAAGGAATGGAGAGAATGGACATCCTTGTCTTGTACCAGATTTTAGTGGAAAAACTTTCAGCTTTTCTCCATTCAGGATGATGTTCACTATGAGTTTTTCATAGATAAGTTTTTATTGTGTTGAGAAATGATCCTTCTATGCCAATAGTGCTGAGAGTCTTGATCATGAAGGGATGTTGTATCTTATCAAATGCTTTTTCTGTATCAATCTATATGATCATATGGCTTATATCTTTCTGTTAAAATGGTGTATTACATTTATACTTTTGCATATGTTGAACCAACCTTGCATTCCTAGAATAATGCCTACCTAATTGTAGGCATTATTATATAAATAACTCTTTATTATAAGTTGTTGGATATGATCTGCTAGTATCTTGTTGAGAATCTTTGCATCTGTATTCATTAGAGATATTGGTCTATAGTTTTTCCTTCCTTGTCCTGTCATTATCTGTTTTAAGGATAAGGGTGATGAAAGCTTTACAGAATGAATTAGGAAGAGATTCACCCTTTTAGATCTTTTGAAATAACTTGAGTAGAATAGGGATTAACTCTTGTTTTAAAGTTTTGTAGAATTCAGAGGTGAAGCCATCAGGACCAGGGCTTTTCTTTGTTTGGAGGTTATTTATTACTGATTTAATCTCCTGGATTGTTATGGGCCTATTCAGACTTTCTACTTCTTCCTTGCTCAGTCTTGGTAGATTATATGTATCCAGGAATTTGTCCATCTTATCCGGATTTTCTTGTTTCTTGGCATACAGTTGTTCATAGTATCCTCTAATGATGTTCTGTATTTCTTCTCTGTCTGTTGTTATATTGCCTGCTTCATTGCAGATTTGATTTACCTAGTTCCTTTCTCTCTTCTTCTTAGTTCCTTTCTCTCTTCTTCTTAATAAGTCTCACTAATCATGTACTGATTTTGTTTATCTTTCCAGAGAACCAGCTTTTACTTTCATTTATTTTCTGTAGAGTTCGTTTGTTTTCTATTTAATTTATTTCTGCTTTTATCTTTATTTTCCTTGATTTT